CGGGTCAGGGGGACAAGTGCGTGAATGGCGGCGTTTAATTTGATAACAAAAATTATTGAGAGCGACTCACATACAGACAAATTCAGAGTGGATTTAGCGTGATTTTCATGATTATGACATCATATAAAAAAAATACATTGACAGCTCAAGCCCGGATTCTTATTCCGTAAATTATTACGCCGATCAAGCTGCAAGTAAAGGCAACAAAGGTGTGAATTCAACATTCAACACCAATAACCGAACAATTCAGACGCTTTTAGCCTGCGAAAATGAAAACAGCCTGAGGGCTGCGTAATTTCCTGTTTGTCCAACCCTTCGTTTTTGTGTCATTATCAAAATTACTGCTACCTTTTTACATAACACGGGTGGTCTCTATAAAGCGATAATCAGGATCGCAAAAAAATCAAATCATTTGAAACTAATACTCGTCTTCCTTCTTCTCTTCCTTCTGAAATCCATCTCAGTGATCATGGGCTGATCCGGAATCTATTTTTTCGAAAACGTTTTGTATTGTCGGCGTTTCTCGTTAAAACCTAGTTGTTTTGTCATGGACAAGGACAGTTTTTCAAAAAAAAAAGAATCTGAGGTGAAGTGGACACTGCATATGACGCTGTTACGAGGAAGTCCACCCCAACCTTTTCTCGTTATTTTCACGGCTTTCGTCCACCGATTTCGCACCTTCGGATCGATTGGAAACGTGGAAATACTTACACTATGACTATACGCATTACTGCAACCGCCCACAACACAACGTTTAACCATCATAAAAGTTTGTTGTGAAAACAACTTCTAAAAATTCGCTCTCTCAAAAATAAAATGAAATAGACAAAAGAAACGCTGATTAAAAAATGTATATCAGTTAAAAGTACAGTTGTATGTTGAATGACACAGTGATATAAAAGTACGGCCCAGGGGTATGGCTTCCTCTCATATTTTTGCATTTGGTGGCGCACTTTCGGCGAGAGTCAGAAATCCGGAAACAGTCGACAGTTTCAGGATAGGTGGGCGTGGCTACAGCACGGGAAATATCTCAAATTTACTTGGATACGAGTACCGGTAATCATTTTCAGCAAAAAAAAATCAATAATTGCCCACTTCAGTGGGGCACAGATTTAAAATGTGAAGCGTGTGGGTGGGCATTGCACAGGCACTTTAAAACCGAGTGAATAATTAATTCTTTTACAGTAGTTTTTGATTGAAATTTGAGCAAACTAATTACCTAATTTGCATAATATGCATAATCATCACATTTTATGAAATTTGATACACTGATGCTCTAAGGGTAATCCACAGACATGATTAATTGAATGTTGAAAACTATGTATATTGATAATCTAATTTTTATCAGCCAATTTCTGATATCTCAAAAAATTTAAATTGAACTTGTGGTAGAGGTGCTCTGGAATAAATCAAACCTACAATGTAAATTCAAATTTATTTTCTGTGACAATTATAAACTTCAGTAGTGTGGATTACATGTGCATCTCAAATAAGCAGACCAATATTAGTCGCCAAGCTACTTAATTAATTTTAAATACTCTCAACACACACAGGAGTTCTTAATTTCTAAGCATTTTTTGATCTTGTATTATTTTTAGTGTCTTGTTTACCATGTGTGCCAGAGAAGGGTACTGTGGGTGCAAGTGGTGATCTGTCCCCCTTGGCACATCTAGCCCTTGGATTGATGGGAGAAGGTAGAATGTGGAGTCCCAAAAGTGGATGGGCTGATGCTAAAATTGTAAGTAATTTGTATAATAGTAGTTTTGTTTTTGTATGTGTGTGTGTGTGGGTGTGTGTATGTGTGTGTGCGTGCGTGCGTGTGTGTGTGTGTGTGTGTGTGTGTGTGTGTGTGTGTGTGTGTGTGTGCTCCACTGATATCTCAAGAACCAATTATCACACTTTAATGAAACTTTATAGAAACTCTGCAATAATGCTAACATCTTATTCGTGTTTGGTTGAAAGCTTACATATTAATGATCTAATTTGCATATTAGCCAATATTTAACTTTTCCACCAATATCTCAACCACTCATCAGATTTCAATGACTTGGTACCTAGATTCTCTGGGATAAGCCATATAAATGTTCAATTTAGGGTTAAATTTTGTGCTTACTAATTACCTAAGTTAAAATTGCATAAATTAACCACTCATCAAATTTTAATGAAACAAGTTAAATACATAGGTGCGTTTTGATAATCTACAGATCTGATTACTTCAGCGTTGAAATCAATGCATATTAATTACCTACTTTGTATAAATACTAATTTCATGTTTCCTCTTTAATTATTCATAACTGTAATATCTCAACCACTGTAGCAGATAAGGACATGCAACTAGTGTTATAATGGAGCTATTTGACAAAAGATACGACTAACATATTAGATGACCATATATATATTAAGCACTGCTGCAGATAGTGACATGCAACCAGTGCTATAATGAACATATCAGACAAGTAATTTGACTAATGTATCAGATGACTATATATGGTCATGTGACCTCATTAATATGCATAACTGTGATGTACTCAGCACTGCTGCAGATAGTGACATGCAACCAGTGCTATAATTAACATATCAGACAAGTAATTCAACTAATATATCAGATAACTATACTAGTATATGGTCATGTGACGCCATTAATATGCACAACTGTAATATCTTAAGTACTGTTGTAGATAGGGTCTGGGACATGCAACTGGTACTATTATTTTGTTGTCAGACAAGATATATGTCTGAAATATAAAGTCATCATATGATATCATTAAATATTTATGATTGTTATACCATAGCCACTTGAAAACCTTGTGTGATTAATGTAAATATAAATGACAAAGACAGTCTATAGTCAAAATAAGACGTATTTCAATGATTTTTCATGTAATAAACACAATTTTTGCTTTATATGTGTTAAAGATGTGTTTCTAATATTATAGTAAATACAGTATTCCTTATTTGTACTACATGCCTCCAATACTTTCATCACACGGGAGTTCTTTCTAAGCTTTGTCTGATGTGATGTATTATTTTTACTTAGTTGTATCATTATATATACCTGTAGCTCTTACTTACTCTAACAGGTAATATATTTCTGCATTTGAAATATTTGGAAAATCATATTTCTTTTTAATTAAAAATGAATAGGTTCTGGAAGCAAACAACTTGAAACCAATCAAACTTGGACCAAAAGAGGTAAGACAATGATATAATGCATTTATTTTTTAAACCAATATTCACAATAGAGTAAAGATCTTTTGTAAAAGAAAGATTGTGCATAGCTACGCTTAGATTTTAAAAATAATTTAAATACAGAGGTGACCTAATTTTAAATGGTTTACCTGATGAAAAATAATGTGAAAATCCATACAATCTTTGTTCTCTTGTTGAAAGTCTTGTGCCTTAAAGTGCCTGTGCAATGCCCACCCTCACGTTTCCCATTTTAGATCTGTGTCCCACTGAAATGGGCAGTTATTGATTTTTTTGCTGAAAATGATTACTCGTATCCAAGTAAATTTGGGATATTTCTCGTGTTGTAGCCACGCCCACCTATTCTGAAACGGTCGACTGTTTCCGGATTTCCGACTCTCGCCGAAAGTGCGCCACCAAATGCCAAAATGTGAGAGGAAGTCATACCCCTGAGCCGTAATAACACTGGTCATTCAGTATACTTTTAAACGATATACATTTTTCGGTCGGCGTTTTTTTTTTTTCCTTTTTGTTTTGTCTATTTTATTTATTTTTTTAGAGAGAGTTTTTAGATGTTGTGTTATGGGCAGTTGCAGTGAAACGTATAGTCATAGTGTAAGTATTCACACGATTCTAATCGATCCGAAAGTGCGACATCAGTGGACGAAAGCCACTTAACCTCAGCTTCTTTTTTTTGGAAAAACTGTCCTCGTCCATGAAAAAAAAAACTAGGTTTAAAGAGAAACGCAGACAACATAAACCTGGCGCAACACTTTTGGAAGTAATAGATTATGGACCAGCCCATGATCACCGAGGCGGATTTCAGAAGAGAGAGAGAGACGG